ACGCAAGATGTGGCCGTCCTCCTGATAGACGTGCCTGACCGGCGGACTTTGCAACCATTCTGACGTCGAAGGGTCTGTGGCGAGGAGCACGCTCCGCTTCGACAGCTCGTCCGTCGACGTGTGAAGCCCACATGTCTTCGCTGGAGAGTCTGAAAAATCCTCTCATCGATTTTGGTTCATCCTGCCAGCCTGTTCTATCGTTAGATACGTCATTTATACACAATCAGGGGAAAAAGTTTGCTGATGCATACAGTATGATGGTTTTCAATTGTCGTTTTAGAATTGAGGGGAAGGAGTTTGCAGTGATTGTTAATGATTTCATAACTGTTATGAGGACATAATAGAGTTCGAAGATATTGAATGCAATCTACATGGAGAGGTTTGGTGCACTCTGGATGGTGAATATGGTGGATAAGTTGAGGGTGGCTAGTAAGTTGAAGGATTTTGTCACTAAGTTCAATGAGTCTTCAAGAGCTTTTTTGGCACAACGTTGTGAGAACAGTCGTCCTAGGTACTTGATGGTACATTGTATGTGAAGGGGCATCAGAAAGGAGTTGTGATGGTGCCGAAAGACTTGAATGGAGAGGGATCGGCATCAATTTTGCTGGTGTTTTAGGTAGTTGTCAATTCATTCGTCACTAGAGACGAGACCAAATGTCGAATGGTGCCCGAAAGTAATCAACAAGGAATGACTTAATGCCGGAGTTACGACGAACTTACAGGCTCCGCAGAATGTTGATCAATGGGTGCTAATGCGAAAGGAAATGGTGATTAATGGGAGTGAAAATGAAGGTTAATTTATGTTGCCTAAGGTTATGGAAGCAAATGCAGAAGGTGCACATGGTATTTTTTTGAATAGCGCTGAAATAAAGGCCCGTGTCTAGGCATTAAACGGGGAGTTGCTGGAATCAATCAGGCTATTGGGAAGTGGGTTTGAAGCGGGCTCCTAGATAATTTGTCACAAGTGTGGGGTGGGCATGGATGAGCCTTCGACGATGGGAAAAAAGTAGCGAGTTTGGCTCCTAAGGAGTTAAACCGAAGGTGGTCCATACGAAAGAAAAACAGGTGATGATTAAGTCCATTTACGATTCTCAGGCATGGATTGTAGCGGTGTACTCTAGTAATGACGATAGGGTCGGTTTAGTGGGGTTGTATAGGGATGTTAAAGACTCAGGGATCAAAGCAAATCGGGAGGTGGTAACTTGGTCCGAGGAAGGGGAGCCGAGTATGGCGAATAAGGATTCAGTGACAATGGGTGCGATGGACACGATTTCGTTAGTAGAGGGAGTTTTGTCAATTGAGCAAGCGACGGGGTATGTATTGGTAGAGAATTCAGTTTCAGCAATTGTGAAAGAGCACGAGGCGACAAGCCCGACAACTATGATTGTGAACACATACAATTGGAGGTACTCTAAGTGCCTCAAAGGAAGGGACTTAGAAAATGAAAAAGCTCTAGTGGTGTAGGTAGATGGAGTCAAGAAAGGAGAAATAGACAGTGATGCAGGACAGGTGGAGGAAGTGAAGGGACATATCTATGATCGTTTGGAGTGTTGTCACGCAAAAAATATAGAATCCACTCATGGAGGGAGAAGTCCTTGCCGTATCAGGTACTAATCTATTTTGAAGTTAGACCCCCCCACCTTGGAATTAGGTTCTTCAAAAAATTCAGGACTTCAGTAAGATGGTTGGTGTGTCTTGTGATGGATATGAAAGTAGACTCTTGTAATTATTTGAGGAACTGGAGGCTAGTAGGGGCAGGGAATGAGTACACAAGGAGTTAAATCAAGAAGAAGGGGTGATTTTAACTTAAGTAACTCGAATGGTCAGTAAACCATGGCGTTAAGGGTAGTGACTCAAAGAAAGGAATGTTAAGGAGGATGATGGAGTGCTAAAATGATCCTAAAAATTATTAACTGGAATGTGAGAGGGCTTAATGAATAGGTGTTCGAATCCTGTTAAGGGGATGGAGAGCGGATCTTGTCTGCCCACAAGAAACTAAGTTGGAGTTCCTCTCGAGGGCCGTGGTTAGTAACTTATAGGGGACATGATGTAGGGTATCAATTTTTGGGGTCATCAAGGGCTTTAGGAGGCATGCTAATCATGTAGGACATTAGAGTTTTCGATATGGAGGAGGTTAGTGTGGGGTTATTCTTTGTATCGCACTCATTTAGAAATATTGGGGATAGATTCAAATGGATGTTTATAGGAGTTTATGGGCCTAACTATGATGAGAGTAGAGGGGGTTTGTGGGATGAATTGGCTGGTATGATAGCTTAGTGGAATCTCCCAATGTGTATTGGGGGTGATTTTAACATGATACGATTTCCTTTTGACGAATCTAACGACGGGAGACTAACGGGGGCTATGAAGGACTTTTCAGATTTTATTTGGGAGAATATGTTGGTGGATATGCCAATGATTGGAGGAGATTTTACTTGGTCATCTAATCGAGACCATTATGTTCTATCTCATATAGATCGATTCTTGATTAGTGGAGAGTGGGAGGCTAAGTACTCAGTTGTCGCGCAAAGGAGATTAGGGAGAGTGTATTCCGATCATTTCCTATTCTTTTATCTTGGAATACAAGGGATAGTGGAAGAATGTCTTTTAGGTTTAAGAAGATGTAGTTAAAAGTAAAAGGCTTTAGGGAGTGAGTATGGACTTGGTGGGCTTCATATGATGTCAAGGGATCTCCCAGTTATGCGTTAGATTAGAAGTTGAAGGCTTTGAACGGGGATTTAAAGAGGTGGAACGAGGAGGTGGTGAGCAATGTAAACTGTTGT